TGAAAAGAAAAAAAATGAACTTATTAGCTGGTAATTGCCTTATTTTACCTGTACCATTTCACTTGTGTAAAATTACAAAGCTGGTCGTAGTAGTTGGCATTCTTTCTCTTCCCTATTCATTGTATTTTATTCCCTAAAGTTATTTTCTTCAGAAATTGATTTTTTATTTGTGGTAGGCCATATTTACCTTTCATTTCTGAAGAGTCTAATTGTGCCTTAAACTACATGTCAGCCTATATAAGGGATTAAACCAGATCTACCTGGATTATTTGTCATAGAATTTATTATGTTGAGTTTAAATCTTAATTACCCTAAAAGTATTACAGTGAACAATTTTTAATGCACAATCTTATCCAAGGGGTTTTAAAATTGAAGCAGGTGGATTTCGTCAACATTTAAGTATTTTTTTAACATTTATAGGCATTTACACTATTTTTATCCAATATGTCTATGAAAGATGAAATAAATTAGTATGCTAAGTATTTCTATTGCTGCATGCTGAGCAACAGTACTCCTAGTTCTTTTGCTAGTGTTCTATGTCTTTTAAAAATTTGTGGGATTGATATGATTTTAAAAGGTTCTCCAGATTTGTATCTGTAATTCTGATAATTTAGTTTTAAATTAAACAGTCAAAATCAGACATATATTTGTGATCTGGTTTGTTTCTTCTTGGTTGTTTTTTTGTTTCGTACTCTACTTCAATACCTGCAGAATAGGTATCACTACTACAAGGTTAGCTGCAATGTAAAAGAACTATCGTACATTGCCTCTTTTTGATTCATTTAGCACATGTTGTGTGAAACAGAAGTCAGGGGAAGTATGCTGCTTTAAAACAAAATTCAAGTAATCATATTTGGTCTCAATTTCAGAGTTTAAAACTGGCACTACTAATTATGTAGTAATACATATTTTCAATATAATCTACTACGCTAGTTTTATTTTTGCCTCTGGTGGTTCATTGAACAAAATGTTTGAAGTAAGGAGACCTTTCACAAAAACTCTTCTGTTTTCTAGTGTGAGGGAGTTCATTATCTTCTAGCATCTCTGTAGCAAATACAGTCATGGAAGAGTGTTACTTTTTGTTTTCACATTCTATCCACAATTATTTTGGAATGGCTACCTTTAGGAAAAAAGGGTAATTGTGATGTCTTCGAAATGAATGGATTGTATTGATTTCTTTATGAAAACCTGCAATAAACTAGATTGTTCCCCTGTTTTTAAATATGATTTATTTATTTTTCAGGTAGTTCATTATAGTGTCTCACAAAGTTATAGTTCATTTCAGGCCTGCAGTCTTCCCTGTGTGCCTAACACTGTTTTGGGCTGCATCACAGGATGCAGCCAGTGGAGACCTCACACACAGACCTAAGGGCATAAGTAATATCACAGCTTCAGTGAAAGTAACACTTCTGAATAGGCAGCCTTGGACGTTCATTGAAAATACTAGTATTTTCAGTATTTATTTTTTTTATTATTTCCTGAATGAAATATAAACATTTCTTGTGGAAAAAAGGTACTTCAAAAACCACACATCCAGTATTTCCACTGAAAGGGAAGTTTGACCAGTTGATGGGCAATATTCACATTTCATATATCCATATTTCAATATCATTTCATATATCTTTTTCAATATCCATATTTCATAGGCAATTCTTGGAATTGTAGCACAGGATTCACAGAGGAGATTTTCTTACAGAAGCCATTATGTGGCATTGATGACAAGAAGTTTTCATTTTAGGCACTTAGTAAAAGGAGGATGTCTAGCTTTTACTAAAAAAAATGACACAGATATATTATTGTAATTTACAGAATTATCTCTAGAGTCAGGTATCTCTTGTTGCAATGTAATCCCTTTGTGCTGTTCTTGAAAGAATTTGATGATTGGAAAAGATTGCTATTTTCCGAAACAACAAGCCAACTTCAGCTCCATTCACATAATCTTTAGTTGAGATTAGGTATTTATCTAGTCAAGACGATAGACTGTTGTGTCTGTAAACTTGCTCCATAGAGAATCAAAATGCTAGTGTTAGTGTTGGTATGAATCCAAATTTCATTTCCAGATGTTCTGAAAGATCGTATTTTCCCATGCTTTTCTTGTATTTGATAAATCTGTCTGTTTCTTCAAATCTCTAGACATAAAGCTCGTAAGGACCAAAAATTTGGATTCTGTTTGGTGAAATTTAGGAAGTCATTCATACTACCCAATATGTGGTGTTTCCCATTGGAATTGTTTTCTTGCCAAATCTGGGAAACAAAGCAGTATTGAAGTGAAAAGCAATATAAAGACAATGGAACAATCTAACCAGCATGAAATAATATAAATGAAACCATGGAGGAAAAAAGATTATTAGGATAGACTAGGAAGAACAGTAAGAGTCACAAATAAAACATTTATGACCTAGTCCTGGTTTTCTAAAGTCACACTTCTCTCAATTCAGCTTACTAAATCCCTTAATTCATGAACAGCAATAGCAGTGAGTATTCACCTCTGTCTCTCATAGCATTACTGGATAAAGAATAAAAGTAAACAGCTAGCATATTTACTTTTCATCTTGGGCTTGCTGAATAAGTGTGCAGTATTACCTGGTACCAGAAGTGTATAACAGTGGTAAGACTCAAATTCTTTTTGCCAACAAGTTAATAAATAACTAAACCACTCATTTGGGAGCAGGCACCAAAGCAATTTGTTCTTGTCAGCTAGAAGTGGTTAAATTATGAAAAATTGTCCTTTAAACATCTAACTGATCCATGAATCTAATTTGTGAACTGTATAGCATTCGGTGTGTTGTAGCACTGCGTATCTCATATTTTTCCATATTGAAAGTAGTGAGATATGACCAGTGTCAGCTTATGCCTTACATAGGTAATATCTCCAGAGAGAATAATGAGCTATAAGATATAAGTAGCCTAACAAAATACATAATTCCTTTGGGAGTGGTGGTAGTGGTTATTTTAATTAACTTATAAATTCATCGTGTTTATGCAACATAAGTCTTTAATAGGTGATTTAAAAGATACTGCTTAGTCCAGTAGCAGTATAATTGTGACAGTAAAGAATCATTTTCCTAAAGGAGATAAACAGAATTGTATGCGTAGAGGACAGCTTTAAAAATCCTAAGCATTAAATGATTTGAAGGCAAGGTGACGTCGAACTTGAACAGTGGGAACGGGTGTGGAAATAAACTGATACCTAAATGAGAGTCCATATAGAAGGCCTGCTAGAATTGTGTCTTATGAAAATGTGTTTTTAAGATTAAGCCATTAGCCAAAAATAATATATACATGATGTCCAGCTAAGTATGTATGCAGTGCTTTTCCTTGTGTCATTTTTCCCAAACAAAAGCTTCCAGGGAAGAGACTGTGGGGCAGCTATGCTAAAACATGTAACACAACACAGCATGACACACATAAGGTAACATCCATAACATCGCGTAACATAATGTGCTTTAATGTAACATAACATAAGGTAATACAACATAATTTAACAAACATAACGTAGCATACGTGATGTAACATACATAACATAACATAGCATAGCATAACATCACATGCCATAGCAACATAACCACACTGAGGTCTGGCTTCATTACACAAATGATACCAAACCATCTGGCCTGCAGGTAAAATGGTGTCTTGATGGAAAAGTGCATTTTGAAGGAAAAAGAAAGAGGATGAGTTCATATTAATAGCATTTACCTCAAAGTGGTATTTAGCTCATCTATAATATATTACATGGGTGCATCTCAAAAAAGGTCACAAAGGAGAATGAATGATAAATAAAATTATTTATGAAGTGAGGAAAACAATGGTTTGCAAAGATGAACTACATTACCTTGTAGCACGCCATGATACTTTATTAATGCAAGTAGTAGTTGTTGTTGCCCACTTAAAAAATTGTAACTGAGATCATTATTTCCTGTTAGCATTTATAAAAGAAAAAAACATTTTTAGTGGTAAACCTTTTTATGTAGATACATAAATCCAAAGGTATTACCATCAACAAACCTGAAAATATAAATTAAGGCTCTTTTATTAGGTTTACAGGAATTGCCTATTTTAAACAAGCTGCTGGACATGAAGAAATTAACTTCTCCTTTATTTATTCAAAATCTGTAATGGGACTTAAGAAAATGCTATGCACATATATGTATCTAAAAAAATGCTCTATGTGTATATATGTATCTATTTCATTTAAATATATGTATCTATTTTATGTAAAAATATATATGACAATTCCTTACTTTCATTCAAATAGGTATATGGAGCATTACAGCAATTTAGTTCAAAGCTAATACAGTGAACCTAAATTTTTAAGGATTTTAAATGGTTCAGAAATATTTCAAGAGAAAACAAAATTGTATTCCACAGGAAATACCCCAGGTTTCAAACTGCTGTAGATGTTTCACTGAATGATGCTTCTGACTGATTTTGCAATGAAAACTAGTAATCTTCTCTTTCATTGCTTTGCTTGAATTACACGGTACAGTGTTTCCACAAAGCTGCCAGCATCCACTCTAAGCTACAACAGCCAGACTCTCCTGTGATGTATCTTCCCAGATTTTATTTTCACCATGGGAGGTGACTAAAACAATAAACGTGTGTGCAGCAAACACTTTACCCACTTAGCAATACCCATGCGTCATTGTATCTCTTGCCTGCTAGATGTCATGGCGCATAAATCACCTAACTGCATAAGGCAAGGAGTCATATGTCTGTAACAGAAATTCTTGATTTTGTCCAACTTTGTTCTTTTCTAGCTGTTTTTTGGGTTTTTTTTGAGTGACTTATGTAGCTTATGAGATAAAAAGCATTAATTGAATGAAGTTAAAAACGAGCATGGGAAATGTTACATGCAACAGAGCAAACAAAGGTCTGATTCTGTCATATTTCAAAGAATACTTAATGAAATATGGACTTCTTTTAAAATGTATTCTAATACAAATTATTGCTGGCAAACTTCATTATTTTTAAGTTAACAATGACTTTTCTTTCTCTTACAGAATAATGATATAATCTATTACAATGCAAAAGACGATCAGAATGATGTAAGTAATATGTTTCTTTTTGTTTCATTACCTGTAATTTCAGAAAATTAAGGGATTGAAACCACTAATGAAACCTGAAGACCATCATTTAAATATTTTGCAGAAGTAAGAAACCAAGAAACCAAGAAACTTAGAAATGTCTTCAAAAGTTTCTTCAAGAGCCAGATATTACTTTGTGTTCTAGTTATTAAAATCTCTCTTCACTTATACAATCTAAATTACTGATCAGGCAGGGAATATGCTGGGAGAAAAAGGATCCTTACAGGAATATCAGTAACTTCTAGAAATTTAATAAAATCCTAATTATAGGACTGGAGAATCAAAATTATAATGTAAATAATCTTCTTTACTCCAAAGAAACCTTTTTCTGGCCCTGTTTTCCAAGCTGATATTATCTTTTTCTGTATTCTTTGTAATAAATTTTTTACATGAAGGAAAGCAATTATAAAATATTACTGACAAACTATTTTCATGCAGTTTGTCACTCATATGACTGTAATAAGCCTTGGGGAAATTGAAAACCCACTCCCAAGATTTAGACTAAATGTATGATATTTCAATTCCAGATTCTACTGAAACTCTGAGTGGTTTGAAGTTTCCAGTTTGGTTTTAACTATTAAAATATTATTGTCTTCTGGCGAGAGTCCAAGTTGCCCTCACCTTTGCTTGACATAGTACAGCTGCTTGACTTCATTATAGGTTTAATTTAGAAAAACGTAGAAAAAATGTGTTAAATGTATTAATCAGAATTTCCAGCATGTTTCATTTGCACTTTTTAATCAAGTATTCTTTAGAGATAGGTGGCATCACTATTATAATTGATGCTTCTGCTGTAAGACAATTAAAGAAGGTACATAGATCATGTCAAAAAGAACTATTTTATGTGCTTATATAAAGTCACAAGTACTGGAATTCAGATGCAACAAAGACTACAGTCCTCAGTTTTAAAGTTTGCATGATTTAAATAAAAGTCATTAAAAGTAACCTAAATTTGAAAGATACTGGTCTCTTCTCATCTAATTCACTGAAACTGCAGGTGCTAATAATTTCTGGAAACAGAATTACAAAGCTTAAATGTTGGAATTTTATTCTAAATGTACCATAAAGTGATGGTATATTGTGGTGTGAAATAAAAGACCCTGCTCTATCTGTTATGATTTAACAGTATTGGGAAAGGTCTCGAGGTGACTACTTCTACAACCTAAATCCAAATTTGTTTGGCAAGGTGGGAAAGGAAATACTGTTCCAGAGTTAATCTCATTTTCTTTAGCTTTCTTTGGTTAGTCCCTTCTCCCACACCCCCAGAAAAGCCCCAAATACCACCAAATCCCCCTACTAAAACAAACAAAAAGAAAGAAACAAAATGTATTACTCCACCATGTGTCCTATTTGAATCTCTGTTTCAGTTTCATTTCTTATATGTCTTTTTGAACTCTTGAAATGAAGTTTGTAATAATCTGTGTTGTTGAGCTAAGAATAGTTCCCATGTGAATGTAGCAGTATTTATGCTTGGGTTGCCACTGTGATCAGTAATATAACTTGAAAGAAGAAGAAATAAGGATAAGCTGGTCAATGATTTGATACAGATTTTTTTTTGCAAATTTGAATCCAGGTTTTCAGCTATCTATGCAAATACAACAGACTCTTCCCCCTTGTTCCTGCTTGAAAAATGCTTGAGAGGGCATAGGTGGTATCTTTTTTCTTAATAAAGAAAGAGTTTAATAGAATCATATCTGAAGCACTGGATAGTAAAACTGCTTTTGCCGCCCATTCTTTGCTGTCTCTTACTGATACGCAGATTGACTCCACAACTCGTTAAAGTTGTAAAGTAGGTATGCTTTATTCAGCTGAGGCGCATGGGGGATAGTTCCTCCAAAGGCATGCGCACCCCAGGGTCGTTTTCCCTCTACATTTATTCTCTAAAGTGTTAAATATGCAATAGGTTACCCAACACGCCTGTACATATTCATATCCTTTTCCCGCTTCATATTATAATGAGCTAAAGCTTCCTTCATGCCTGCGCAGTGCCTCCTGGTGGTCGTGGGCAGGGGTCTCGAGATCCTCACTCGAATTTTTCACCTCTGTCTTGCACGCAAGTTCACCAGTCCCCTGGCTTTGGCTCAAACAGCAGTTCCCGTCTCAGCCGGGTCTTAACCAGATGTATGGTGTTGCAAGTGCAAACTTTGACCGCCGGTTCCCCTTATCTGATGTTCTTTCCTTTCTTACGCAAGTTTACATTAAACACCAGCTGCACTTTTAGACAAATACTTATTGTTAACTAAAGAGATTGAAGATAACATAGGTTTAACGTTCGGTTATTAATTCAGGCCCCCTGTCATTACAAGTTCATATTGTTTTCTTCTGTGCTGTAAGCCTTCATTTAATGAAAGGACATGATATTATAATTCTCTTTCAGTATAAAAAGGAATAATCAGCCACAGAAGTTTATTTATGAAAATCAGTTATCTAAGCTAGTCACTGCGGATTTGTCTGGAGAGTTGTTGAGTTTTTCGTGAGGTAGGTGCCTATAGTCAGCTGAATCACTTCTAGCTGTGTGTTTCCCTCTGTTGACCAGGTTCTTATGACAGACCCTTTTAGACCTTAGATTTTACATGTTCAAGAATTAGAATAAAGGAATCTCACAGGTCCTGGCTGCCAGCTTTTGTCTCCACTCACCCTTTTAAAATTATAGCTTTATCAGAAGAACAATCCTCTAACCTAAATTCTGTGTATTTTTTTCTGTGTATGTTAATACGCTGCAGTGGAGTTTGTTTTCCTGCTCCCTGTTTATGTATGGCATTCAGGAGATTCTTCTCCCTCATTTTTCATCTGCTGTCTCGATGGGCCTTTTTTAATCTAATGACTGTGTTTGCTTGGACTGAGAAAATAAAAAGGGAATGTGAAGGCTGATCATTCTTTGGCCTTTGGAATTTTCAGTCTCCCAGATAAAACAATCAATTTGTAAGCTCTTAGTCCATCTATCAGTAATATACCTTTTGTACTCTTTATCCTACAACAGCAATTAGATCCTACTTGCTTATTTCCCCACAGCCCTGAATGTAATGTGTGAACACTTCATGGTAATTAATGAGTTTTATCCTCACAACAAAGTAGGAGGCATTATAGTCTCATTTTTCATATCTCATAGGAAGATAATGATCAAACTTGTAATTTAATACAGGTCTCCTAGGTTTCCATTCACTGTCCTTTTGCCCCCAAACCCTTTCAGTTTGATGTATTGCAGCCTGGGTTGTGCACTTTAATTTGCAGCTGTCAACTGCTTGTGCTGTATTTGGACAAATGCTGTGGTGGTTTTATTGGATAACTGAGTGGCACCACATGAAGATGGCCTTTCCTATTAGTTTCAATATTGCTTTGCCTGTTTTCTCTTCTTGCCCTTTGTACCCCACTCTGTTTATGGTCATCTTTACTTCACTGTTCAGTTTTCCTCTTTTTTTTTATACTGGCCTCCATTTTATTTCTAGTGATTCTACATCTTCTTTATAGATTCTCTGTAAGTCTAATTTTATTGTTTCCTTTTGTTCAGATAATTCTCTCCACTGTGCACCAAATCGTTCAGTGGCTTAATTTTCATTCTTCCTTGATTCATTCCTTAATGTTTCTCTCATCTCTTCTTTCCATCTTGCTCCTTTTCTACCTTTTTTAGGGTCATGGTTTTATAAACTCTTTCCTGCACAAGTTACTACAGCCTAAGGAAAAGGAGATTGAAATTTTTCAGTGATTAACTGAAAAGACTAACGATTACAATTAAAGAAACAAGTGTTTCTTTATCATGAAACCAGCCACACCTCACTGGAGGATTGCAGCTCATCTGTAGGTCTTACTCATTAGGCTTTAATTGGAACCAAACAGTTGCATCTCCTGGCATGAGCTGTGTCCCTAGTTAGCACAAGTGATTTATTAGGGAATGCCTCCATCCAGCTTCATGTTGAATTGTGGTCATGACTAACAAAGCAGTACTTCTTGTGCAGTTATTGATCAGGTATTAAGTAATAGGAGCACTTTTTAATGTTATTTTACTGAATTAACATGGAGGCTCTAGAATTATGGGTCCCTTTGGGAGCTGCTACCTGCACAAAATGTAAATTCATTCTGTGATGAGAGTGTGTGGGTTCCACTAGTGGGAAGCGATCTGGAGCATGCGTATGTCTGTTTTAAATATGAAAACCATTTTTTTTTGTTACTTAATAAAACTTGCAAGGTGAAATCTTTTATAACTGATAAGCTGTCATTGCCACATGGATTTGATAATATTCTTAATTCATTATGCCTTATTATTTTGGAATAATATGTAAACCATTATCTCCCTGAGTTTAAAACTGCAGCATAAATGCAGCTATCAAGGGGTGTTTTTTTTTTGTTGTTGGAGTTTTGTTTTCCCAAATAATAATGATAAAAAGATATCTCTACATCAAGTTGAAATCTGTTGTAAAACTAAGAAAGGTTCATTCATTAGGTGTGAATATAAACATCATTTAAAAAAATTTCTGGTGGGTTTCAACATACCACAGTTCTGGGCATATAAATTGAATTTCTCCCTGTAACGGCTATTAGCCATACAGGCAAATGACAAATTCTAGCATTTTTTGATATAGACATGGGTGACATTTTGCCAAGGTAGTTTGTTCTTAGAATGATGTGAGATATAAGAGGGAAGGAACATTTGTGCTAGTATAAATTATATCTACTATTATGAAAGACTGTCAGAGTAGGATTGTTGATACACCTGTATAGGGAACATTTATAAAACCTTAGAAAAGTTTCATTAGACTATGAATTGCTACTCTGTAATAAATGTCATTTTTTTCAAATATATTTCAATTTTTCTAAAATGTATCTTGAACATTAACCTATATGATTTGCTGCTGGCATTAGTACTTGGAATTAATAATTACATCTATAACACATTTAAAATTTTATTAAATTAAGTGGGAAAATTTATATATTCCCATAGATATCCTAACATAATAAAAACATCT